CTAACACTTTGCTATAAAGCTATTGTCTTTTTTTTAATTAATTAATTTATTTATACAAGCACTGGGTACAGTCAGAAGCGTGGGAGGGTGACAGAATTCACCAGAGCCAGAGTGGGGAACTGAACAGGCAGAGTGATGAAATACACTGCTGAGGGGAGCAGCGGGCAAGACAGGAGAGGTCTGTCGCGCCATGTGGGACCCTCGCCAGGGACCGGGGATTGAACCAGTGCTGCAGAGGCTGTGGGCAGCTTCGTAGCCCAGCGCTCAACTGCTGCGCCACCAGGGGAGGCCCTAAGATTTATTTATTTATGCATACAAGAGTGCTGGGGTGCAGGCCAAAGGTGCGACCTGCACCAGAGACAGAGTGGAGAGTAGAACAGGCAGATCTACTGAAATAAACTGCTGAGGGGAGCAGAAGAAAAGACAGGAGAGGTCTGCTGCAACATGTGGGTCACCTCCCTGGCCGGGGATCCAATTCATGCTGTAGTGGCTGCAGATAGTTTCAATAGTGCTGTGACTTAACCCCTTGCACTATCAGGGAGGCCCATTATCCTCTTTTTGAAGACAGGAACATGGTGCCCAGGTGAGCCTACCCCTCAGCTTGTTTTGACTAAATGTTGATAATTATCTCTCAAAATACTCAGTTGCTTAAATGAGCTTAAAACATTCATTTTTACCCCAAGGAAGTGTTATTTAACTTATTCCTGAAAAATGTAGTTAGGCCATAATCAACTTAGTATAAAGCACATAATTGCTGAGTCCCTTTGACCATATTTTTGTCAAATGTCCACAGCAAAGCCCTGTCCAATACAATATCCAGCACTAAGTTTTGACTTTGCCCATAACTTCCAAAGAAGAGACTGTGAGCCTCAGGAAACTGAAACAGATATGGTCCATCAATCCCTGGGACCCCCTAAGAGGTACAGCTATTACTTAGTAACATAAAGAATGATTTGACTTTTTCTCTGTGTTGAGATCTGCACTGACTGCAAAAAAGCGACAATGAGTATAACTGCTAGTAACTTAACACAAACCAAGGTGCTATATCAAAGTATAGTAGGACTCATGTTCCTCACCACTTAAAACTGCAGTTAAAAGTAATCTCAGTTATAATTTAAGAAAGTCTTTGATAAGGCAGTAAGAAGAATTTTAATAAACCTTAGTCCTTCAGTACATGTCTTTTTAAAGTTCTGTGTGATGAAAGGGTAAGTATGCATAAACTATGTACTTAAGTACAATGGTTACCTCTAGGAAAGGAACTTGGGTGATTCAGTTGCAAGTTGAACTAACCACTTTTTTAATGAAGAACCATTTTTACTTGAAAGACTAAATGACAAACTATGCTATTCAAGTACAGTTATTTCACAGATGTTTTCTCAAAACTGAATAAAGTGAGTCTTTAATAGTACTGTAAAGCGGCAATACTTGTTGCCAATAATATAAGTCAAGCAGGTAAGAGGAAATTAGAATTTTAGGAACAAAACTGACAGCTTCTTAATATTTAAATAAATCTTTTCCGATGAGACCATGGGAAGTATTAAAAAATATGATTTTTAAATATTCCATCATAAAATGTGCACAAATTTTCCATGTAGCAAAGGCTCTAGAGGTCTATATTACTGGTATTTGATGTGTAAGTATCATGCACTTTTATTTTAAGAATAAATAATTTCTTTTCAATATATCTTGATAACAGTTGATCTAATTATAACAAAATTCTCACCCCATCTTTTAAGAATTCCATCTTCTTAAAAACAAGTTCATTTTACATTCAGAATTCTTTTCATTGTCAAATGGCACTGAGTGGGCCAATAAGTGTGTAAATCAAATTCTTACCATATGTATGTTTTATAAGCAATAAGAAATGTCAGTGTAATGTTCAGAAGGAAGATAAGAGACAGAGGATGTTGGTTCTTAAATATAACTTATGAGTCATTTCTGTTTTTGTCTAAAATCCACATTATGAATATAAATGTTAATTAATTTACAAATACCAACATTAAAAGTATAAGATTAAAATATCTCACTAGCATAAAACATAAACTTTCATATTAGTGATCAAAAGCATATTCCAATTTATGTTTCAGCGGACTACTGGCCAGCTATAACTTTCACAGCAACTCTTCCCTTGGTACTCCCTACTAAATTCAGGTTATAGTTGGCAGCACTTCCACTGCCCACCTGTGACTATGCAGGTGCCTCTTTTCATCATGTCTCTCCCTCCGCAGTGCAGCAGCCTCCTGCCTGCCCGTGACCTGTACATGCCGGGGCTTCTCTTCTTAACTGACCTCCCTCAGTGGAGGCAGCTGTCCTAAAGGCTGCCTGCCTGCAACCACACAGGCCTCTCTTAGCAAACCTCTTTCCAGGCAGCTCTTCCTGCCCGCTTGTGTCTATGCAAGTGTCTTTTATTATCCTATCCCTTTTCTAATAAACTTGCTCTTTAAATATAAAAGAAAATTCAGGTTGTAGTTAATCAGTTTAATAATACATTAATTAAATTTAAGTAATAAGTTGGGTAAGGTGAAGAGGTTAGAGAGGAAAAATAAGTTTCCAGCAAAAAACTTTAGAGCTGTCATAGATTATTCAGGTTTGTCACATGGACATGTTCTTTAGCTAATGTTACCAGGCAACTAAAATTAACTTGATTTAGCATATTGCTCATAGATAATCCCCTCAAGAATTAACTTCGTAGTGAAACTACAAATTAATAAACTACTGAATGCCCTCTAGTGTTCAAATTAAGAATTTCACCGATGAATTGGTGTATATAGTACCTTTCACAGGGGGAAAAAAGCCAATTATTAAAATGCTGTTCTTGTAAGGTTTTCACAACAGCAGTTTTCTCAAAAGCAAGGCAACAGCTATTAATCTAATATGTTTACTACTACCAGTAGCCCAAGGAACCTAAGCTCAGTCATCTCTGGTAATTAGGCACTGGCAGAATATAAATCACACAAGGAAAATTCTGATTCCTTGTTTTTGTTTATTTTTACCTATTTATTTATTCTTGCTGATGCAAATTTTATTTATTTATTTAAAAGATTTATTTATTTATTTATACAAGCACTGGGTACAGTCAGAAGCATGGGAGGGTGAGAGAATTCACCAGAGCCAGAGCGGGGAACCGAACAGGCAGAGTGATGAAATACACTGCTGAGGGGAGCAGCGGGTGCGGCAGGAGAGGTCTGCGCGCCAAGTGGAACCCTCGCGTGTGGCCAGGATCCAACTGGTGCTGCAGAGACTGCGGGCAGCTTCGCAGCCCAGCGCTCAACCACTGCGCCACCAGGGGAGGCCCTGATACAAATTTTAAGTGGAAGTACTTCCTAACTAATCTTCCTAGTTTAAAAAAATTGGACATCCTGGACAATCGCTCTCTTTGAAATTTGTCAAATAGGAAAACAGGGTTTAACACACAGTAACTGTTGTTTTTAGCAAAAAAAGGTAGCTAATCAATCTGTGTGTGTCTAGATCTATATTCCCTTAACCATGCTGGATAAAATTTGACATGCAATAAAACAACTGTAAGTAGAATATATTCCTGCTATCATGATTACTTCCACGCTTTCATTGGTCACATACTAATGAAGCACTACAAGCACACTTGTTAAGAACTATTAGCCAAACTAAATTTCAAACCAATAGAAGTAAATATAAGTTGCTAAATTTTTATTTTAACTTGCTAAATGGTTCCTAGTTTTACTTGAAGTAACTTTCTAAAGTATCTAGCGACCACCGGAGATAAGAGCAAGGTTAGAATTATTTTTTATAAAATACTAAGATGTTGGGGCCTCCCTGTTGGCGCAGGGGCTAAAGTCTCAGTGCTATCAAGCTATCGCCAGCCATCGCCTACAGCAGCATGAGTTCTGGGCAGCATGAGTTTGATCCCCAAGCTGCTGATCCACATGGCGCAGCAGATTTCTCCTGTCTCTCACCCGCTGCTCCCCGCAGCAGTGTATTTCATTGGATCAACCTGTTCTGCTCCCCACTGTCCGGTAAATCTTTTCTCTCTCCTGCACCTCTGGCCTACACCCCAGCTCTTGTATGCATAAATAAATAAATCTTTAAAAAAAAAAAAACACTAAGAGGTTATTTGTCCTTTCATTCTTTTTTTTTTTTATTTTTTATTATTTATTTATTTATTTATTTATTTTTTTATAGAAGTGTTCTTTTTTTTATTTTTAAGATTTATTTGTTTATTTATACAAGCACTGGGTACAGTCAGAAGCGTGGGAGGGTGAGAGAATTCACCAGAGCCAGAGCAGGGAGCAGAGCAGGCAGAAGGACCAAAGTACACTGCTGAGGGGAGCAGCGGGCGGCAGGAGAGGTCTGCGTGCCATGTGGGACCCTCCTCCGGTGGCCAGGGAGCAGCCGGGGATCGAACCGGTGCTGCAGAAGCTGCGCGCAACTTCGCAACCCAGCGCTCAACTGCTGCGCCACCGGGGAGGCCCTGTCCTTTCATTCTTGTTATCTCCCAACTGTACAAATTTTCAGAGGCTTACAGTGATGTAACAACAGATTGAACACAGAAGCAGGTATGTGAATACAACAGTCTTCTGTTTAAACAGACATTAAAGTGATTTGCAAAAATGTAAAACAATTGTACTCTCCTTGCTTTTTTTTTTTTTTTTGGCTTATACTGAGAGTTGTTTTTCATTAAAATGTTATTTATGAGACATATATTGAATTTGTTATTGTTAATTTTACACAAATTAGTATTTTTTTAACTGACTGGTTTAATTTGTAATATAGTAAATTTCAATAGGTACAAGTAATAACAAAGTTCTAGTAAATATCAATAGATATGTCATGTAAATAATGTTCTTTGAATTCTCTCAATTATATTTAAGAGTATAAAGGGATCCTGAGACCAAAATGTTGAGAACCATTTTAGAGAATAGCATACTGAACATGAAAAAAATTTCATTTCTCCTTAAAGCCTTAGTGGAAGTGATGATAAAATGTAAGTATCATTTATTAAGAAAAATGAATGTGATACTCACCAAATCGATCTTCCATGCCACTATGAACCAGTTTAGGGAGGTGGGTTACAATTTCTAAAAAGAGAAAAAGGTAAATATACTTAAATGTAAATCCATCACTTTTCATGATTTAAAAACATAAACACAATTTAATAATAGTGATTATAGACACGTACTACCTATTAAATGAGAACACTGCCAAGTGGGATTGATTTTAAGGGGATTGAGATATAGGTGCTGGCCTAATTCTTTTTTTTTTTTTTTTTAAAGATTTATTTATTTATGCATACAAGAACAGGGATACAGGCCAGAGATGTGGAGTTGAGAGGATTCACCAAAGACAGAATGGGGAGCAGAACAGGCAGACTGAAATACACTGCTGAGGGGAGCAGCGGGCTAGTCAGAAGAGGTCTGCTGCGCCATGTGGGTCTCCTCCCTGGCTGGGGATCAAACTCGTGCTGCAGTGGCTGCTGATAGCTTCATAGGTTGTGTCTTAACCCCTTGTGCCACCAGGGAGGCCCCCTAGCCTAATTCTTAACACTTTCACCAGTGGTGAATAGTGATGGTCTATCCATGAAAGGGAATGTTCTAGCTGATTAGAATATCAGGCACTTGAAGAGTAAGGGGAAAAACAATATAACAACAAAGGAATTGAATGGCTATTGCTAAACTCAATTAATGCTTGAGAAAAAGATAACAAAAAGGCAAAGGTGATGAACAGCAGATTGAGAGTCAAATATAAAAACCACTGGGCCATCCTGGTAACATACAAAGACGCTCTTTCCAGCAGAAGTAGCAGCAACACAGAAAAAGTTAAAGACCAGGTCCAGGAATTAATCAGAGTAGCCCATCGCCCAAAAATGTGAATGCTCAGCCAAGGAAGGGATGCTATGTGAGAACACTAACCTGGAAAGAATGAGACCTTAATATATGAGATGGAGACAACTGAGTAAATGGCCCTCCAAAATCTCAAATGCCCAAAATCCTCTTTACCCCTTGAGATTACAAAGTGGCCCACTCTCCCTATAAGAACTAGCACTTCCTCTCACTTGAAGACAAAGTAGAGGCTTCCCCAGCTCAGTAATACAACAATGCCCTCTGAGGACCTCCACCTCCATGCTGCTTGGCTAGCAAGCCTTTCACTTGTGGTAGGTTACAGCACAATCCAGTCACAGATGTGCTATTCTGGATAAGGAATTCCTCAATTCCTCAAGAAACCTGTGGCCTGTATCACTGACTATGATTAAGTTCCAAAAGAAACTATAACCTAAGAGAGCTCCAAGACCTAGTCAACATGTACTGGTTGGGACCAGGGGGATACACATGTGGTTAAATTCTGAAGGTGCTGGAATGTGAGGACCAGAGCAAAAAATTGAAAAATGAGAGGTTGTGGATCACTCTCTGGAGACAGAGGACTTAACACTCAGGTAAAAACCTCCAGACATGGTGTAAACTTATCACTAGGACAGTTCCCAAGCCCTGGAAAACTGATGGCCCATGTTAAGTAAGGTAGCAATGCCAAAATTGCAGTGGCAGCCAGCAGAGGAAGGATTAAAAGGCTCAGTGGAAGTACGTCTGCCAAAGTGATGAGAAAATTCATCAAATTATCATTTTTCTTTGGAATGACCGGGAGAATGCTATAAAGTGTATGCTGGTGAGAGGGGCACCAACATCATTAAGAGGTTTAACAGTTATTCTTTTTAAGTGGCTGTTACAAAACTAACCTCACTGACAGCAATGATGATGAAAGGACTCTGAAACCAAGGAGACCAGGCAGTGGTATTGATCTGTTAGAAATGAGTTGGACACAATTACCATAAAGAACAACAAAGTCACAGTGGCAGCTAAAGGAACTGACTTACAGATTTATAGATATAGTCAATAGAACATGATGTCACTAGGAAAAAGAGATTCGCAATGAATGAAAGCACTTCTGTATCTGAAACATCAAAAGAAACCATGATGGGGCAATTCTCCTGCCCACCTGTGACTATGCAGATGCCTCTTTTTTTTCCTTTCTCCTATTCCTAATAAACTTTAAAGTATAACGATAATAATAATAATAATAATAATAATAATAATAATAATAAAGAAACCAGGATGGAAGTTCAGTAAACTAAGGGAAATCACCTCAATAAAAAGTCAGAATTCCAGGTCCAATTTTGGGAACTGACTCAGTTTTAGATCCTGAACCTATGGGCAGAAGGAGGTGGGTATCCAGGACAAAGGAAACTCTAACACCAAAGCAAGCATAACAATTCCTTGAGAAGTCCATGGCCCTAAGAGACCTACATTTATGGACTCCACACTCAGAAGTTTAATGTTCTGCAGTTGTTGCCTTGAAATTCTTAATTTTTCTATGGATCTGTGTTCTGTAAGTGAAGTCTGGGAAAATGGAGCATGTACTGAGGCTTAGAGCCTCAATTCACACAGGGTCCATTTACTCCTGTCTTCCCAGGAAGGGGCTCTTGACCCCACCCTCTGGCCCCACCTGGTCACCCCTTCCCTGCCTGGACTGGCAGTTGCCACAGTGCTTTTGGAGGGCAACTCTTCTCACCCACTGTCAATCCAGGTATACTAGGCACACCATTATGCAGTCAGCCCTCCTTATGACCATTCACTCAGGTAATTGTAAACCGAGGCAATGGAAACACTAATGTGTTAAAGAGAGTTTACACTGATACCTGGAGTCTGGAAGTATCACATCACAGACTTACAATGACCAGGAAAGCAACCCAATCCTCGACAAGCTCTATCTCACAATGGGATTCACTGGGTCTGCGGACTTCCTCTAGTTATAATTTCCCTGTTCCCTGGGTATATAATTGAAATAAATATACTTGAAAATTAGTGCAGACCCCATTTTGAATTCCTGGCCTGTGAGATAAGAGCTCTCAGACTGGGAAGGTCAAGTGGTACAAAGCCGCTAAAGCTGCCTCACCCTACAGGCCGAGATAATAAATACAAATAAAACAATATTATATCTGGGGACAAGGCAGGGCTGATAACAGAAATTAGTGCTATATCTCTGAAGGATGCAGTATTCACCAGTGGTCCCTGCAAAAATGAAACAAATCTAGAAAGATGGCAGAATATCAAAAATTCAATCTAACATTAGCCACAACTGCAACTGCCACACCAGATGAGGTATCTCTGCCAGAGTAGATTAACACAGCTCTAGAAACACAGCATACAGCCAAATTTCTGTCCCCAACTCCCTTCTTCTCCCTTCTTCCTTCTCCTGCTGTAAGAAAACAGGGTTAGAAATAACTGGACTGAGGATCCCTGATGGTGCAGGGGCAAAGTCTCAGCACTATACTGCCAGCACCTGAGGCATGAGTTCGATCCCACATGGCACAGCAGACCTCTCCAGTCTCACCCACTGCTCCCCTCAGCAGTATATTTCAGTAGATCCTCCTGTTCTGCCCCAACTCTGTTTCTGGTGAATCCTCTCACCCCACCACACCTCTGCCTGGACCCAGTTCTCAAATGCATAAATAAATAAAATAAATCTTTAAAAAAAGAGAAATAATTGGGACCTTCCTCACATAAAATATTCCTCTAATATTATGGATCATGTGCACTTTCCTGCAGAACACACACTGACCCACTATATGAAGAACATCATGCTAATTGGGCCACATGACCAAAAGGTGAACAGCTCAAAGAAGGTCTTGAGGGGAATTTACCTGTGAGTTCACATACATTCACATCTCAAACCATTTTTGCTCACACAAGTAGACAGGACATATGCGGCCCAAATGGTGAGAGACAAATGTTTCTCAAAGATTCAGGCACACATTATATCAGTAAAATTTTTTTTAAAGATTTATTTATTTATTTATACAAGCACGGGGTACAGTCAAAAGCGTGGGAGGGTGAGAGAATTCACCAGAGCCAGAGTGGGGAACAGAACAGGCAGACCGATGAAATACACTGCTGAGGGGAGCAGCAGGCATGGCAGGAGAGATCTGAGCACCATGTAGGACCCTCGCCTGGTGGCCAGGGATAGAACCGGCACTGCAGAGGCTGCGGGCAGCTTTTCAGCCCAGCGCTCAACAGCTGTGCCACCAGGGGAGGCCCTATATCAGTAAAATTTTTAATGGAACTAGTAGTAGAGGCATGACAAGACATGCCATTCAAATAAAGGCAATCATGGAAATAACTGCATCGTGCATCTCCCACTATTAAGGTGGAAGCAGAACATACGAGAATACTGCTCTGGCTTTTATGCCAGGTGATACAAAAAGTTGCCAGTTTTGAGAGTAGGCCAGAAGAAGAGAGAACTCTGCTGGTCTGCATGGTGGTGCAAACTACCTGGCAAGATCCTATGGTATTATGGTCTGTCCCAGTGGGAGAATCACTACACAGACCCTGGGGTTCATGCCATTTTTAGTGGAAAACTGTATGACTTTTACAGAACTCCTTACATACTATTCCTAGTAGATATGGAACATCTGATCATGGGGCACCAAATAACCATTTATTCACCCAAATCTGAAAGAAACATCAAATCATAAGGTTGAGAGGACCCAGCAACAATGCAGCATAAAAGGGGTACAATGTGAATGTACTTAAAGTCACTAACTGGTAATCTTTAAAATTGTCAAAATGGTAAGCTGTATATTAGTATGTTTATTTAACTACAATTTAAAAAAAGTTGCTGAATCTTGGTAAGAACCAGTGAATTTTATGACTTTTTTTATTTTTAAAAGATTTATTTATTTATGCATATAAGAACTGGGATACAGGTCAGAGGTGAGGGGGGGTGAGAGGATTCACCAGAGACAGAGTGGGGAACAGAACAGGCAGAATGACTGACACTGCTGAGGGGAGCAGCGAGCGATTCAGAAGAGGTCTGCTGTGCCATGTGGGTAGCTCCCTGGCTGGGAATCGAACCCATTTTCTGCAGTGGCTGTGGACAGCCTCATAGGTTGCTGTCCTAACCCCCTGCACCTGAATTTTACGACATTTTAACTTGCCTGATTCCCATTTCCACCTCCCCAGCTTTGAGTAGCCTTAAAAACCAAGAGAGTCACGAATACATTTAGCTGTGAAAACTATTAATAGCTTTCCAGCAGCCACTAGAGGGGGCAAAATAAATGAGGAGAACCTAAGTCCCAATGTTACCATTTGATCTGACTCAGCAACAAGAAGCTCCACTCTCAAAGTTATCTTCATTTGCTGACTCAGCACTTACTCTGTGTAAACTGCCCTATCCTTAGCGCATTTTTCAAAAACAGTCAGTGGCAATTTGCTTAGCCTCCCAATTCTCTAAGGCAGTGATACCAGCTGGGTGCTAATAGGCCAAAATGCTTAAGTGTTCAGGAATGGAGAAATCTAGTAACAGGCTTTGGGAATCTGACATATTCCTAAAAAGCCAAAAGGACACATGCATTTACAGGCTGTGCACATACACAGCGGTCTGAGGAAGTGCTATTGTCCCACCTCTGGCTGACCTTGACCAATGCAGGCAGAAGGGATGGCTGGGCAATGCTTTAAATCACCTGTAGGAACAATGAAAGTAGATACCAACAAGTGTACTTAGCAATTTCAGCAAAGACAGAAAAATTTACTGGTTCAAAGGATTTAAGAAAAATCTGTCTATGGGCCTCCTTGGTGGCACAAAGGGTTAAATCTCAACACTAGGAAGCTATCCTGCAGCCACTGCAGTGCGAGTTCAATCCCCAGCCAGGGAGCTGACCCACACGGTGCAGCAATGTGTCTTGCCTACTGCTCCCCTCAGCAGTGTATTTCAGTCACTATGCCTGTTCTGCTCCCCACTCTGTCTCTGGTGAATCATCTCACCACCCCTGCACCTTTGGCCTACACCGAAGCTCTTGCATGCATATATAAACATTTTTTTAAAAAAGGAAAATTATAAAAAAAGAATAACAGGTTTTCTGGAGATGAAAATATAATATTTGAAATGAAAATTTCACTAGGTAGCCTTATTTATTATTTATCACTTTTGAAATACTTTGCATTTTTAAATTCTGATATGAATGTCAAATACAACAGTAAATGAACTGCAGATACCCTTATCAACATGAATAAATGTACCAATATTATGCTGAATAAATTTAATAGCAGAAGAATTAATGTAGCAAGAGATCATTTAGATGACATGCCAAACAAGATACAGTGTTTAGGGACAAGTACATATGTAACACAAAGCTATAAAGACACACTTATCTTTTTTCCTTATGGACTAATGAAGATCGGTCCATTACTCAATAATTTATACTTTCTCCAAACTATAAAGAATGATGAACATCAATTTCAGCAGAGTGATTTAAACTGAGCAAGAGGGGCCTCCCTGGTGGCGCAGCGGGTTGAACACAGCGCTGTGAAGCTGTCCACAGCCTCTGCAGCACAGGTTCCATCCGGGCCAGCTGGGGAGCAACCCACATGGCGCAGCAGACCTCGCCTATCTCGACCACTGCTCCCCTCAGCAGTGTATTTCAGCAGATCTGCCTGTTCTGTTCCCTGCTCTGTCTCTGGTGAATCCTCTCACCCTCCTGCGCGTCTGGCCTGTACCCTGGTTCTTGTATGCATGAATAAATAAATCTTTAAAAAAATAAATACATAAATAAACTGAGCAAGAGAAAGGAAATGCAATCATCAGGGGTAAGTGTGGATGGAACCTAAACTCTACTGGTAATATTTTTATTCTTAATCTGTGCTTGGTACACAAGTATGTGTCTTCATATTCTTTTAAGTAGATATCAGAAATTTAACAAAAACATAAAAAATATGGGTACAATCTAAAAAATCAATAATCATC